CTATTAGTCTTGAATATAACACTAAACAATGCAGTAAGCCATTCCAAGCCTGCTCTACCCACACACCTCCACAGTTCAACCGGAATTTCGTCTGGCCCGGTAGCTCTGCCCCTTCTCATCTTACGCATTGCCTCCATGACTTCGTCGATCTCAATGTCCCTACAATTACTTAATTCATGGTGACTGTCGGCATTCCTCAATTCCCCAAGTATAATATCCTGATCCCCTTCTTCGCTTAGAAGTTTATGAAAGTAGGTCTGCCACCTCCTCTTAATCTGGTCATCTCCCATCAAAACTTTGCCGTCATCATCTTTTATGCACCTCACTTGGTCCAGATCCCGAGTTGTCCTCTCTCTCACCTTAGCGAGTTGAAATAACTTCTTCTCCCCACCTTTGTTCCTTAGTTCCTCATACAGATAAGCAAAAGCTGTCGTCTTAGCCTCCGTCACTGCCATCTTCGCCTCTTTCCTAGCTACCTTATACCTTTGACTGTTCTCTCTCTTCTCCTCCTCGTCAGTGCCCCTTCCCTATAATGATGGCAATTTTTGGGGGTAATTTAGCTCCAACCCTCTCCATTTTTGTCCCCAAAATGGGGATAAATAGTGTTCCCTCAAATATGGGGTACACAATTCATCTCCTCCATTACTATTCATCACTTTTTTTTATTATTTTATTATTTAATCTTTTAATTTATCTCTTTATATATACCTAATTATGTTTATGTAATGCCTTTATAATATTAATTTTACATCTTAATTTTGGTGTATAATTTTGATAAATTAATTTTCGTGCATTTATTATTTTTATGTAAAATTGTAAGTTAATTTTATTATAAGTTATAATTGTACAAAAATATGTAATTATCTCAAAAAAATAAATGGTGCAAATATAAAATATTAGATGTTGCTAAAATTGAAAGGTGCAAATATAAAATATTAGATGTTGCTAAAATTGAAAAGTGAAAATTGAAAATATATTAAAATAAATGTTTGCTTACAAATTATATTATTTAAAATTTTATGGAATTGTTTTAATGAAAATTATAAATTAATAAAAATAAAAGATAAAATTTGTTTAATGAAAAATAGAAAATGAAAAATAATAATATAATATAAAAAAAAGAGAATAATATAAAAAAATTTGGGAAAAAAAATGAAGAATGACCGGAGTAAGCTGTCCAAAAATGGGAAATGGCATTTTGGGACAAAAATAGGGTAAAAGTTGGAGATGAGCTAAGTGATCATCAATGGCTTCCACACCTCGAACACGGCCACCTAGACCGCCTTCCTCTCTAAGCCCTAACCCTAAACCCACCAGGTACAAATCCCCCTCTTCTTCTCGTCCTTCTACATCATCCATCGCTATTCCTCTAGAACCTTCGTCCAACTTCTTCCCTTCCTCTAAATCAGAGTTCTCACGGCTCCTCGCCGTCGTCTTTGTTGCAGCCGCCGTCGCATTTTCCTGCAACTACGTCTTCACATTTCTCAATCGTCAGCCGAAACCTTTTTGCGATAGCAATCCCGACTTCGATGACTCTCTCTCCGGTTAGCCCATCTTGATTTGTTCTTCTAGTAAATTTGTTATTTTTTCTAATGTTATTTTCCCAATTATTGTTTTTTTCTATAATCAACATGTTAGGCTATCACAACCTGATTATAACAATTATCTCCTCCGTCCCGATTTATCATACTGCTTTTTGTATACTTTCACAGCTATCAGCCATTTTTTTTTTGATTTGCACCGGGTGTCCGAGTCTCTTCGAGCCCCGACTAATCCCGGGGGTGCACAGGCCCTCGGCAAGGAGTTTCCCGCAAGTGCACCGCGGTTAATTCAGGTTTTACCCAGTCCGATGGCCCTCAGAAATTGTTTGCACCCAGTGGGTTTCGAACTTGAGACCTTGAAAGGGAGCAAACCCCAAGGCTCAAGTCAATTGCCACCAGGCCAACCCCTGAGGGTTGCTATCAGCCATTTTGAAATCATCAAATTATTCAAAATTGAACTTTTTAATGTAACGTTTTGGATATCATATGTTAGTGTTCTCTTAAGCTATGGCTAAATAAGGAAGTTGTAATGCCAGAAGAATTCAATCTGTTGGAGACTAAGAAAGCCGCAAGCTTTTGCTAGACAAGTACTCCTATATTTAATCCCCAAAATTTATAATTTGGATGGAAAGTCATATTTACAGCTTAAATTGAGGAGCATAATCCATAAAATATTGATTAGAAGAAAAACCAAGTTGCTGGACTGGATATTTTAACTACAGCAGCTCATGACCTGCTCTTGTTTTGAAAAGCTTATTACTCCGAATGATGGGATTGGAATTTTAACATTAACGACAAGGGAAGCTAAGGTATGGGCTTGGAGTGTTGTCATAAGAGGTCTAGGGGTTAAGAAAATGCTAGGTGGTTCTGATATACTTCAGCTTTGTTAGTATATCATGTGGAAAATGTAATGTTTATCACATTATAGAGTTATTCAAATGATTCATTACAATATCTTGTGATACACTATGTCTGTGTCAAACATACCATTATGCAGATTGCAGAATGTCCCCAATTATCTAGTATATTTTTAATACTTATTGGAAAACACTCTTAATAAGGAGGTTAAAAGAAAGATAAAACTGCCATAATTTGTTAATAGTGGGAGATCAACACATGATCATCTGTTTTCCTCTGCCAGATTCCTCTTTACAGAGAAAAGAAGCAGAAGATTACCAGAAATGCTTCTTCCTCGTAATTTCTCTGCCTGTTTAACTACTTCTGATCTCCTCCAGCGAAAAAAAGTTTTTATATGATTTCTGAAAACTGTTTGTTGAAGTTGTCAATCTTGCATATTACCAGACAAAACCTTAATCAAGAACAAAGGTGATATCCAAAATTATAACAACTATAGGGGTATCAAGTTGCTTAGTCATACTATGAAAGCTTCGGAGAGGGTGGTGGAAGTGAGGGTAAAGAGGATTGTGTCTATATCCGAGGATCAATTTGGTTTCGGACGTTCAACTACCGAAGCCATCCATCTTGTTAGGAGGTTGGTGGAATAGTACAGGGAAAGGAAGAAAGATTTGCATATGGTGTTTATTAACCTAGAGAAATCGTACGACAAGGTCCCAAGCAGTGTTATCAAAGGCGAAAAGCGCAAAAAAGCTCTAAGGTCGGTTGGGGATTTAAGCGCAAAGCGCAAATAAAGCGTGGGCTTTAGGAAAGAAAGGCGCAAATAGAGTAAAACTATAAATATGTATATGTAGTCCAAGACTAATATCTATAAGTATGAATACCAAATATGGACAAAAAAATTGAAGAGAATTTACGATAAAAGTGAAATATCAATTGTTTAGTGTCGCCTCTTCAGGATTATGCTTATTGCCAAGGAAAAGCATGTCTTAGCGCCTTGATGACAACACTGAAGCGCCCGTTAAGCGAGTTGAAGCGCTCAACGTGTTTTGAGCCTGGCTTTAGGGCTTAAGCACGCTTTGAGCGCGCCGTTGATAACACTGGTCCCTAGGGAGGTTCTTTGGAGATGTTTGGAGGCTAAAGGTGTTCTTGTAGCATAACACTAGGGTGATTAAGGACATGTATGATAGAGCTAAGACTCGTGTGAGGATAGTGGGAGGAGACTCGGTTCATTTTCAAGTTGGGATGTGTTTACACCAAGGATCTACGCTCATCTCGTTCTTATTTGCATTGGCGATAGACCCACTGACGCGTTATATTTAAGGGGAGATGCCATGGTGTATGTTATACGCTGATCATATGGTATTGATTGATGAGACGCGAGACGGTATTAACGAGAAGTTAGAGGTTTAGAGACAGACCCTAGAATCTAGAGGTTTCAAGTTGAGTAGGACTAAGACAGAATACTTGAAGTGCAAATTCAGCGACATGACGAGGGGAGCGGACATGGACTCGTGAAGCTTGACTCACAAGTCATCCTAAGATGTTATTTGGGTCAGTTATCCAAGGGAATTGAAAGATTGACGAGGATGTTACACACCGTATAGGAGCGGGGTGGATGTAATGGAGATTAACATCAGGCGTCCTGTGTGACAAGAATGCGCCACCAAAACTTAAAGGTCAGTTCTACAAAGTGATGGTTAGACCGACTATGTTGTATGTGGCAGAATGCTGCCCGATCAGAACTCATATATCCAGAAGATGAATGTAGCTAAAATGAGGATGTTGAGATTGATGTGCGGGCACACTAGGTTGGATAAGATTAGGAATGAGGATATTCGGCAAAGGTGAGCGTGGCCCCATGGAGGACAAGATGCGAGAAGCGAGACTTAGATGGTTCGAGCATGTGGGAAGAAGAAGCTTAGATGCCCTAGTAAAGGAGGTAAGGAGGTGTGAACGGTTGCCCTTGGCAGGTATGAGAAGAGGTAGAGGGCAGCCTAAGAAGTATTGGGGAGAGCTGATCAGGCAGGACATGGCACGACTTCAACTTACCGAGGACATGGCCCTTGATAGGAAGGTGTGGAGGTCGAAAATTAGGGTAGAAGAATAGTAGGTAGTCGGACATTTTTCTGATCCGTACCGAGTTTATTAAGGCTAGTCTGTTAGTATCTTGTCGTTGTTCTTAGATTGCTAATATTATGGTTGTTTTCTTACTATATTCTGCTTCGGTTTTCTAGTATCTTGTCGTTGGTACATCTTGTTGCTATTGCTATCGCTATTGCTCTCTTCCATCTATTTTTCGGTTCATACATTGCTGGTATCATTTTTCTGGACTTTGTTGTTGATATTTGCTTGTTTCTATTCTTCCTCTCGAGCCGAGGGTCTTTCGGAAACCGTTTCTCTACCTTCCCAGGGTAGGGGTAAGGTCTGCGTACACGTTACTCTTTTCCGACTCCACTTGTGCGATTTCACTGGGTTTGCTGTTGTTTCACCAGACAGAAACTTAATCAACACATTAGTAAGATCTCGCTGCATCTTAATGAGTATCAAGAACATCTATCTCACATAATGAGAGCATCTGTTCAGTTTCTTGTATCCATATCATATAGCCGGAGAAGGGTAAATACCACAGGTTAAAATTATTATTCTGGTTCTAATCGGGAAAACAGCTGGATATGTTATCTTCTTTTGTAATTTTATGTGGAACACTGGTAAAAACGTCCTAACCTAATATGCGGTTTATTATATGTTATTTCTATGTATTTCTGTTTTGCATTTGCTTATTCTTGCAACATTCCAAAATCGTGTGATCCTCATTTTGGAGAAGAGAAGCTGCGAACCAGTATGTTCTACAGTGCTGACAGCTTCTTAAATAACTTCCAACTTTTTCAATGTTCTTTGAGATCAATAGCGTTGTTGGGTTTTAATTATATTCCTCTTGGCTTTAGACTTCTGTGAGCCTTGTCCACTTAATGGAGTATGCCATGAAGGCAAATTAGGGTGTGTGCATGGCTACCGGAGGCTCGGGAACTTATGTGTTGAAGATTCAAATATAAATGAAGCAGCTAAGAAGCTCGTGAGTGACACCTATTTACCTTATTCAGTTATAAACATGCAANATTTACCTTTTTCAGTTATAAACGTGCAGTGTTGATTAAGTTTGGGTTTTGAATGCTTACTCAATTATGTAATTTACGTATGTGCAGTCAAAGTCAGTAGAAGGTCTTCTCTGTGAAGAATATGCTCAATTTTCATGCACAGGCGCTGGCAATATTTGGGTGTGTTGCTTTTGAATCTTGTGTATTACCCCCCCTCCCCTCTCTCTTACACACACACACGCACATACAAAAAAGAGATCTTCAAGATGTCTTCTGTATTATTAAGCTACTGAATTAATATTCTCCATAATTTGACGCTTGCCTTAGGTTCAAAGTAACCAATTGTGGGAAAAAGTGAATAAATCTAAAATAATGGATGAGTATGGCTTGAACAAGGCTGTTTATGCTCATGCCATGCAACGAGCCATGGAGGATCTTGGCAAGGTTTTGGAGAGAAGACTGAATGATCAAGGGTATGCTCTACTGATTTCTGTTATATTAACCATTATTTTGTAACAAGCAGATGAAAATATATCATATTCGTTTTCATTAATGTTTTTACATCTTTTGTCTAGAATGGAAGAGTTGAAGTGTCCAGCTTTGCTGGTCCAACATTATACACCAGTTTCCTGTCGCATCCAGCAGTGGCTTTTTGAGCATGCTTTGCTATTGGTTCCAGCTTGTGCATTGGT